TCCACCAGAGCGCGCAGTTCGCGTTTGTCATTATCCGCGGGTGCAAGCGGCGGAAGGTGTGAAAGACTTGGGTCCTGGTGGAAGGGGGGGGGGGGCTGTGAAGCGCGGTGGACTCGCCCACGATGACGGCACAGACCGCTCGTCTTCCCCGGAATCCCGTTAGATAACGAGCCGCCTTGGCCTGCGGGGCCCATGGGGCCTGCAGGAGTATGAGGTTACGTCCCCGCCCCGCCCCGCCCGTTGGCCGCGGCACCTCGCGTTTCGATTTCACTCCCGATCCATGTGGCGGTGAGGACGGCGCGGAGGCGGCAGACAGGCCGTCGGGGCGCACGGGCGGGTGGAGCGCCGCGCGATCCAGATCCAAATCCCCCCGCGATCAGGATCAAGATCAAGACGGCGGCGCCCAGGGAACGACGCGACGGCGACGCGGCGTGGTTTTTGGTTGCGCAATGTTACACGTCGAAGAGAAACGACGGCGGACAACGGCGTGCTATATCGTATGATCAGGCGCCGCCGACCTGCTTCCATGGCTTCGCACCTCGAACGTTCAGCAGCAGGGAAGCACTCCTCCTCGCCCCTGCTGTGGTCCCATTTAACAGAGGAGATGTTCCCGTGAGATCGCTGCTGTCACGCATCTTCCTCTCCTTGTTTTTAATTTAAAATAGCCACAAAGGCGAGTGGTCAGGGGAGCAAGTTTACACCGTAAGCGCCCCTTGTCGGCAGTAACAATACCGTACGGTATGCAGACGTGCGAGCGGGTTGCCTAATGCCTACTCGTACGGGGCCATGGAGCGCGAGCGCAAGATACGATGGAGTTGCGGCGGAGGAGCCGGGAGAAGCCCACCCTGTTATAGGTAGGTAACGAGGGCTTCAATAAGTATCGAACATGCGCGGCGCGGGCGGTAGAGGCGACGGCGGCGGAAAGTGCAATTCAGCAATGCACCCCTCCTCCGTCGCGCCTGCCGCTCGGCGACCAGCGGCCGCGGCGAGGGACCGCGAGGCAAGGGAAGCCCTTGGGGCGCTGGAGACGGGCAGTCGCGTGTAGGCAGCGGTGAGTGTGGGATGCTAATTGTGCTGGTTAAAAGTGTGTGAAATAGACCAAGGACCAGACGACTCAGTAGTACATCATTCTCTGATAGAACCAATAATTAAGCCACTAAAACAACCCATCCCTCCATACCATTTGTAAATGCAGTACACCGCAGTGCTGCGGGTTTGTCTACCCGATCTGCCCGTAAGGCGCCATAGCCCCCTCACGCAAAAAAGGCTGTTCGCTAAAAAAGACAAACTTCAGGTCCTTGCGTTTTGCTGTTGCAGCAAACACATTTTAGTTTTCGCTGTTTTAGCAAAATATTTGCTGAAACAGCAAAATCTTTTGCTAAAACAGCGAAAACAAAAAGTGCGTTTGCTGCAATAGCAAAACGCAAGGGCCTGAAGGTTGCTATTTTAGCGAGCAGGCTTCTTTGCGTGATTGGGTATGCAAAGCCGCAACACTGGGGAGTATTAGCCTTTACACTCGGTACAGTGGACTTACAACTTAAATACATGTCTATAAAAGTGTATCGCTCCGAGTTTTGCACTTACTTCCGGAGAGGAATTGCTGGTTCCACACGGGGCCCGTGGCGGCAGCCGTGGCGACCTGGAGCGCGCCGAGGAGGCCGAGGAGGCCGAGGAGCGCGAGGAGCGTCAGCCCCAGGGGCGGCCGCGGGGGGCCGCGGGGGCCGGCGTGCGGGTGCGGGGGGCGGCCCATGGCTCAGGTGCTGCAGGCGCTGCAGGGACTGCAGGAGCTGCAGGGAGGAGGGGCCGAGGGCGCGGCGGGGCGCGGCATCAACGGCTGCCTGAAGGCGCACCTGCAATCACAGGAGAAGAGCACACGACCATCAGAGCGACACCAACAACAGCAACAACAGAAGGAGTGTGGCGGTAGCAGGAAGGCAGAAGTCTGTCGTCGTGGGTGCACGCACCGCCCACTCGCTGGAGGGGAACTGCAACGTCGCCATTGTTTGTTTGTTGTTGTTTTTTTTTAAATTTTGATTAGGTCCACTTTTCTGCCATTCATCGCCCGGTGCCCCACCCCACGTCGTCCGCTTGCTTCCCATGGTGTTCCCTTCTCCGAGCGCGACTCGACGACTCGACGCATGAGCCCTCGACTCCCACGAGTTCGTCGCCACGCCGCCCGGTGCCCGGTGGACCCCGGCGGCGACGACGATGGCACCACCAAAGGCAAGAGCCACGCTAAACGCTCGCCAAGCCACGCAACGCCACGCCGAGCTACGCTGCGCCACGCCGCGCTGCAACGCGCCAATGGTCCCCTTCTTCCTTTTCCCTTTCCTTTTTTTTTCCGCAGGGTACGACGCGCTGCTCCTCGGCCGGCCAGAGGTGGGTGACCGCTCTGCTCTGCTCTCCGCTCTCGGGGCTGCGGGGGCTCGGGCAGCCTGTGGCCCCTGCGGGGGCCTCGCCAGCGGTGCCCCCCGCAGC